TTCATTGTATAATACTCGATCTATTTGATAATATTTACCATTGAATTAAGTACCTTGGTATAAAGAACAATGTGTTGGTAAATAAACATTTTTGCATAATTGTTTTTTATATTATCCATGATGTTATTGATTCACACACTCTTTCCCTCCCTTCTTGTTGTCATCCTCCTTCTAATTGTCTTTCTTCTATTTCTCCTCCTCCGCTCGTCGTTCTCTTCCTTTTTTCTTTTTCTTCTTCTCCTCTTCCCTCTTCCATTTCTCATCTTCTTCTTCTCCTCCTCCTTCCCTTTCTTCTCAATTCAACTTATGCTTCTACTTCTTCTCCCCTTTCTATTTCTTCTTCGCCTCAATACCATTCTTCTTCTTCTTCTTCTTCTTCTTCTTCTTCTTCTTCTTCTTCTTCTCACAACAATACTTAATGCGTTTAAAAACGAACATATGACAGGAATCAAGAAACGTACGTCCTGACAGACCATCGTCTTCGATAAACGAATCATTTATCTGACAATACGAAAGAATAACAATCTATTAATTATATAGCAACTAGGTATTTGAATTGAATAAATAAGCACCTACACACTTAGATCTCTACTCATCAAGTCTGCGGCTGAACGACACATCGAAATTCTGTAAAGGATCAAAAGAATAAACACTAGAGATGATTTTGTCAATTTATTACACATATTGACAATGTTATAAATAATTAGCTAATATTAAAAGGTACAACACCCATTCTTGAGTATTTTGTATCGAATATTTATATAATTTGAACATATTGGTCACGTGTTCCTTTTACCTTAGGAAAGCGATGAGGCGGATAAAATGAATTGTGAATGATTTTGTTGTGACTAATCATGTTTTTGATGAGATGAAAATGAAAAGGCAAGTGAGAAACGAGAGAGAGATAATGAGAAAGGTGATGAGCGAAAACGAATATAGTAAAAATGACAACGAGAAACAAGGAAGCAACTTCGCTTTGAAACAAATGCATGAAATATTTAACCAACAAATGCAACTAAAATCATATTCGACTGATTATTTTTTTACGGTTTTATTAGCCCTTTATGAGTTATCAATTACTTCAACGGCATAACCGCTAAAAACACAGTAAATGATACAAACACAGCAGTTGATAAAAAAAAATCATACCTATAAACAAAACCCTTTACACGGCCAGTATTCATTCAAAAGTAATGCTATTAACCTAGAGAAATATAAAAACCATTGGTAGCAGAAGAAAGAAGGCCTAAAATAGAGATAGCGGCAGTAGTGGCATCCTACCGGTTCGCGCGAACCGTTTCTAAAAATTACAAGATCTTACCAAACCGATTGTCGGATTATTCTAAAATAATCTTATATATCAATAATCGATATCTAATAGCTAAAAATATAATGAACACCATTGCTGTATGTTCTTCGTTGGCTGAAAGGGAGTTTTCTGTTATGAAGATGATTTATTCTAACAAAAGAAATCGTTTTGAAGTTTAAACATGTGGAAAATCTTCTAGTTATAAATTTGATAAATCTTCCATTGGATATTTAGGATTGCAGCGATTCAGTTCGAATGTGGTTAAGAAACCATAACACTACTGATATCACTAGAGTCAAAAAGCATCTTCTGGACAGAAATATGATGAGAACAGAATTTCAATCTGGAAAAATCTTCATAAATAAATGTTTTCTATTAAATTATCAAAATGTTCTAATTCTTAACATAAGTATTAATTAAAGTAATTTGTTTCCATTCTCAGATTGAAAAGAAAATAAGCAGAATAGATCCGTAAAGATATTCTGCCTTTATAGAACCGGTTCCTAGAAATTTCGGATGCCATTATTGGATTGAGGTATTTATAATGGTTGCGTAGAACTGAAGACGATTTATCAGTAAATACCAGGCAAGAATAATAAATAATGGTGCAAATATAATTTATAAATTATATGAACACGTTGAGAGTCTTGGACACTTTGTATCTGGCTGTCCAATCTTGACACTGAAGGAATTCAAAGATCGTCATAATAAGATTGGTTAGTGTATTCATTAAAAGATTTGTCAGTAGTCCACGGGCTGAAAATCGTATGAACATCAGCCTGAACCAGTCACAGAATGCTATGAAGTCAATATACCAGGAAAGTTTCATATCTGACAGACATAAAAACTAATAGACCAGATATAAAGACTGCACCGAAAAATATCTTCACATAGATATCACACAATCCAGCAAATAAAAATATATCTGTTAAAGAATATAACAGAATTAACAAATAGAAGTATCTAGAAATTGCAAGAAATGTGGCACTTTAACATTCCTGTTATTAATATAATAACTAGAGCCCTGTGTACAATAAGAAAGGTACAGATAAGAATATTAACAAAATCCTTGGCGGTCTTTGCTTAAAAGAGATTCAAAATATTTCAATGCGTGGAATCAGCCATACATCCAGGAGAATATAATCAATGAAAGAAAATATAAACATTGTGCATATTAAGTATCACTTGACATCAGAATTTTTGCAAACAGAATGCATAATTATTGTCATGGGTCCTTACCTATAACTACAGAATGAACTCTTCCTAACACTATGTATACTACGCCTCTCAAGAGAGAGGGTCGAATCGAGTCGAGCCGATAGTATTTCACTCCAAACCAGACTGACAGTCATGCTAACACCTTCTACATCTTGTATTATTATTTCGTGTAATATACCTTCATTATTTCTACTCTTGTGTTCGTGTTGTTCTTCCTTGGTCCTAACCTGGACCACAACAATTATCTCCAAAAATAAAATAAAATTGTATACAAAAATATTTAGATTTCAGTATTAAATAACCTACAGAGATTGATATGCCGCTAAACAAACCAACCAAGAAAATGTAAATATTTATGACATTACTTTATTCTATCTCTCCGGCAACCTGGTAAGTGTTTTTTCTGAACAGATCTAAAGATTAAATGAAGTCAAGGCCAAGACAGACAAATCAAAAGAAGAAAACAAATGCAGGATGTGATGACACGTCGATAAGACAGTTTAGCACATATTCAGCGAATGTCGTAAAATTGGCACAGAAATTTTATAAGCAGTGACATGATTGGATTGGTAAACGAATCCATTTAGAAGTATTACATAAAGTTCGCTTCAATGTGTCATATAAATGATTTGACTAAAAGCCATAATCAGTGAAAGCAAATGATAGTCACAAGATATTATGCAATTTATCGGTTCAGACAGATCATGTCATTAATGTTCGAAGAACTGACCTCATATCTTTATAGATAAATAAAGTAGAAAATGTAAAATTGCTGTTTTTGCAGTTTCATATAATACAAGATTTGTCTCCAAAGAAATCGAAAATATTGAAAAATACTAGGATTTGGTTAGTGTGTCGAAGAAACCGTGGTAATTCTTGTAGTCATAGGAGCGCTTGGAAGGCTTCCATGAAACTTGGAAAAGAGCTCAGTGAAGATTAGGGAATGAGACTAAGATTGAAGATCTCCAGAAAACTACCATCATTTATTGTGAGGATTTTTCGAAAAGCTCTTAAGTTGTGAAGACTTTTGCTGTGCGGAGGTTTCATACTTCAAGAACAAAATTTCCATAGACTACGTCAATGTTGCGACACCAACGCAATACTACTACTACTACTACTACTACTAATAATAATAATAATAATAATAATAATAATAAGAAGAAGAAGAAGAAGAAGAATATTTAAATGCTAAAACAGGTTTTATTCTTACTCCGCGGAACAAGTGCTTGCTAAGTAGTAATTACCAAACAGACATACTGAAAAATAGTGGTGACCCGAAATGCAAATTCTGTGATAAATATCCCAAAACAACGCACCATCTTGTATCAGATTGCAGGGTGTTAGCATCCACTGAATATAAAACTCGGTATGACAGAGTGTGCCAATATCTGTACCAGAAAGTATGCAACTTTTACGAGAAGCAAACTGCAAGAAATTGGCATAAACATAACCCAGACCCAGTTACAGAGAGGGGACTTATAAAAATTTTATGGGACTTTACAATACACACAGATATAACAATCAAAGCTAATTGCCCAGACACCGTGATCAAAGAACACAAGAACAGAATATGTTTTCTTATTGACATGGCAATCCCTGTAGATTGCAATGTATCTTTGAAGATCTTCAAAAATCTATTAAAGTACAAGGATCTTGAAATGGGAAACAAACAAATATGGCACATGAAGATATTAATACTTCCAGTTGTAGTTCGAGGTCTTGGATTAATTGGAAGAGGTTCCGATAGACTCATTAAAAAGATTCCCGGTAGTTCATGCCTTAAAGAAATACAAATAAATTATACTCACAATTACAACTTACACATTAAGAAGAGCTTTATCTGTGTAAAATATGCGTGATCTTTTCCTTTTTATTACAAAATTTATTACTGGAAAATGTCATGAAACCATTTTTGGCCTTAGGTCTCTGGCTAGGACCAGGAATGAAATTATATAGCAGAAATCAAAGGAAATAATAATAAAATAATAATAATAATAATAATAATAATAATAATAATAATGTGGTAGATGAGGACATCAATAATTCCATTTGTAGCTGGAGCCCGCCAATTGATTGGAAAATTTTCCGATAGACTAATTGAGGGGCTTTCTGGTAGGCCATGCTTAAAGAAATACAAAAGATTGTACTCACACATTGTACACACATGTACATTTACAGGTACACAAGCATAGACAAACACTTATCTGCAAACACACACGCGCACACAGTACTGACACATATATAGTTACACAGAAAATGCATAAATGTTACACACACACGCATGCACAACACGCACACGCATAGACATATACACCATATACACACATGCACACATGCACCATACACAAACATTCATGTACACACACGTCTGTGCACATTCATATGAACACGCACAAGAAAAATATACATACACCACACACACACGAGCACGCATATATGCATACACCACTCTTACATACAAACACAACACACATACAGCCATATCACGTTGAAACACTGGTTCTCGTACGATCATCGAAGCAACGTTGAGCCTGGTTAGTATCTAGATGGGTGACCGTCTGAGAATACCTGATGCTGCAATAGATAACGGTAAGATTTGGAATTCAGAGAGCCGAGTTCAAGTTCCAGTAGGGTTCGTTATATTTACTTACGCATAAATCACCAGGATAAAGGTTCTTCTTCCCACCATCTATGGGTTAAATAGTAGGACTTTTATCGGTAAATCGATATCATGCTTACAATCTATAAATATTTTCTGTCTATTTAAATCCAGAAATATTTTCAGATTGGTAAGCCGTAAAATTCAAGCAATCAATCGACCACATACACAAGATACACGCAAATGCACCAACACAGACACGCATGCAGACAAACACACACCCATGCACACGCAGATGCATGTGGCGGGCGGTTCTTTCCCAAAAACCGTTTATATTTCAATTAGAAAAAAAATAAACGCGAGATTCCAGATTGTGTAAATGTTCGTTCAACTTCCAACGTTTCGTTTTTGATGGCGTAACGGAGAGAATGAGTGGAAAACTCAAAATAAATACTTCGCTTTTTTTTTTTTTCTTCTTTGTATTTTATTTTATGCTGTCGCTTTTTTGTCGGTTTGTAAGCCTCAGGGTCGGCAAGGAGCTTATCAAACACCACTCACAACCGACCATCAAGCAAGTATCTGTTTTAGGCACAACAGCGTAACCTCTACTTAAAGTTTACATACAGATTTTAGTCGGTATGGGGAGGCGAAAGCAATTGCTCCTGAACACCGTAGGCTGTTAAATCGTTGGCAATGTGAAAGACAAGGTCCGTTTCAGGGAGGCAAGGGCGTTTGTTTTTATTGTCTTGAGTGGTACTTGGGGTACGGTGGAGGATGATGGGTAGAAGAGTTTTACGTCAAAGGAAAAAAGCGTGCCGAGATTTTAAGGGTGGGAGGTGATGTGCATGTTTGGACAAGGCGATGACGGTTATCATTGTTGACGGTATGGAGATGGTTCGTTTCGCCGTAGGGCAGAGATGAGAACGAAACATTCGGAAATACGAAGTCGGAAAGCAGGAATAGAAGAAAAAATGACTGAGCTTTTCGAGACTAAAAAAAAAAGAAGAAATAATTAGAAGAATGAATAAGGAATAAAAACAATGACAAAGATGAAAAAGTGAAAGTATGGTAGGTTAAAAAAAAGGGGTGGCGAGTGGGGAGAAATGAAAATTTAAAAGAAGAAAATTTTAACAGTTAAACACTTTTCGTAATGGCGATAATAAAAAACGGCAAATGCCCAGTAAAAGAAAGAAAAATATATATAAATGGATATAGAATAAAGAAACTGAAAACGGAATGAAAAAGAAAGAAAGATCTAGAAAAGTAAAAAGAAAAAAGGAGTGAAATAAACAAAATCTAAAAATCAAGATGGTAAAGGAGAAGTGAGAAAATAAATAAATTAGAAAATGTAAGTCATCAAGAACTGAACGAAAGAATGGTTAAAACAGAAAGAAAGAAAGAAAGAAAGAAAGAAAGAAAGAAAGAAAGAAAGAAAGAGTGAATAAAGGAGGGTTGAAAATAAGATAAGAAAGAAAGAAAGAGTGAATAAAGGAGGGTTGAAAATAAGATAAGAAAGAAAGAAAGAGTGAATAAAGGAGGGTTGAAAATAATAAGATAAGAAAGAAAGAAAGAAAGAAAGAGTGAATAAAGGAGGGTTGAAAATAATAAGATAAGAAAGAAAGAAAGAAAGAAAGAAAGAAAGAAAGAAAGAAAGAAAGAAAGGCGGTTTAAGAATGAGATAAGAAATAAAGAAAGAAATACGAAATGAGGGTTGAAGAATAATGGGATAAGAAAGAAAGAAAGAAAGAAAGAAAGAAAGAAAGAAAGAAAGAGAATTCAAAGCAAAAAGTCACAAAGAGAAAAGGGAACGAATTAAAATAAAAAGTAAGAAACAAACAAACAAACAAGAAAGAAGGAAAGAAAAAAGAAAGATAAAGAATTAAAAGGTGAAAATCACCTGAGTAGCTTAATCGAGTGGTTTGATTTCCGATTATAACAAATGCATATATTTAATACATAGGTATGAAAACTAACCTTTGTATTTATATATTTATAGCGTATGTTCCATGATTCCTCGCTGTAGTTTTAAGAGAAATCCGTTAAAGGATGATTTTAATCTTTCTCTTCAATATAGAACTTTTATTTTAAAATTTAGTATCAGCATCTCATAAAAATATTTTAAAAAGTTCCCTTTTTTCACAAGAATTATCATTAAATATTCATTTTCCTGAACAATTCGAACCACTAGATATTAGAACTCGTCTCTCCAATTTCCAATTACAAGTCATTATTCATTACACCGCTCGCACATCCAATCTTACAGCACCTGGTGTTCCCAAGTGGCCATCCATCTAGGCACTGCCCAGGCTGAACATTGCTTAACTTCGGTGATCGCAAGAAAATCGGCGTTTCAACACGATATGACCGTAAGCAATGAAGGAAAGAAAATAACTTTTTAAAGATTCCAGATATTATTAAAATTACTGAAACATTATAAAAATTAAGTTAAAACAAATAGGAGAAAGTGAAAGTAGAAGTAAATTAAGAACGAATAAAGAGTTATTTATTCAAGACGTAATAACGAAGTGTTAAATGAATTCAAATGTATTCAATAATGAATTCAATAAATACAGGAAAATAAAAAGGGACGTAAGATGTGTCTTCTTACCAGACTTATTCAAACTTTACGGCGACAAAATGGTAAGAGATCTAGAAGTACTAACCGAATCCATTTATTGCCGTCCACAATATGGTATGCCGATGATACTATATTGATAGCAGGCACAGAGAGAAATTTGCAGGATCTCATAGAGTAGACAGTAAAAAAAAACTGAGTAGAAAAGACTACACAGATGATAAGAAACTAAAATGAATTTTTGTCAGAAAAAGGAATAACCCAATATGTGAGTTACGAACTGGATATACCAAAATCAAGAAAGTCTAAAACTTTAGATATATTGGAATTGCTTTAAAAGAAGTTAGAGAATGAAACAACGAAATCCAAAGGTGCATTTGGATAGCGAAAGAGGCCTTCCAAAAGCTAAGCAAAAGATTAAGAAACAGAAGAAAAAATCATTTAAAACAGAGAAAAGAGTGCTGAAATGCTATGTAATGTCAGTCTTCGTATATGGCAGGAAATGCTGGACAGTTTTCTCTCAGATGAAGAAGAGACTTGAAGAACCAAAAATGTGGTTCTACAGAAGGATGCTGAGAATATCATAGGGGAGAAAATGAGAGATGAGGAAGTTAAAATTAAAATGGAAACAGAAAGTTTACTTTTACTCAGAATCAGAAAAAAAGACAATTGAAATTTCTAACCTACCTAACAAGCTTTTGTAAATGGGTAGCAGAAGAAGGACTGCGAGGGAAAGCAAAGAGACAAATGTTGTTTAGTGCTACAAAGGGTAGGAAGTTGTAGAGGACCATAATCCTCTACTTAATAAGCTTTTGTAAATGGATAACATAATGGGGACTGGGAGGAATACGATTTTTTTTTTTGATCTGGTGTGTTTTGTTTTTTGTTTTTTTAATGGCATATCAACACTTTATGGGTCATTTCATTCCAAAATGTCCAGACTTTTTTTTGCAAAATTGTTTTGCTGGTAATTAATTTCTAGTAATGTATTGCTGATAATTTTTATCTAATAATGTATTACGTCCTGGGTATGACGATAAACTACATCCGCGACCTGGGTAAGACGATAAACTACATCCGACAGCAAGGCCTCTGATCAGAAGGTTTTGAGGAGTGTGGAACCACCTCTTAATTGCTGGTGTTCCCAGGTCCACCCTGACCCGGGGTGGTAGCACCTGTTAGGGTTCCAGCTATAGGCAAATAGTTAACCCCGAAACTGGGGTAAAAACACTATGAAAGTTTAAAAATAGGTTTTAAGACCAGAAATATTTTGCAAAAAATTATTAATACCAGCAATAAAGTTTTGTAGAAAAAAACTATTACCAGCAATACATTTTTGAAAAAAAATATTACCAACAATACGTTTTTGAAACAAAAACACTAGCAATACATTTTTTTTTTAAATTACCAGCTATACATTTCTGAGGAAAAAATATTACCAGCAATACTTTTTGGAAAAATTATTAGCACAATACATTTTTGAAGGAAGAATATTACCAGAAATAGATTTCTGAAAAACCAAAATATTAGTGGCAATAAAAATTTTGTCGGGATTAAATAACACATTGAGGTTGATATGCCGTAAAACAAAACAAAACAATCCAATGGAATCCAATCCAATCCAATCCAATAATGTATTACTGGTCATTTTTTTATACTATGAAAATGTATTGCTGATAATTTTTTCTAATGTATTTTTATATTTTTATGCTTTCAGTTCAGTTTTAGGCTTCTCTACTTGCCCATACATGGAACCGTAACAGTTGCTGCCACCCTGGAATAGGGTGGACCACGGAACGACAGCAATTAAAGGTTCTTGAAAACCTCTTGATCAGAAGACTTGCTGCCGGATGTAGTTTATCGTCATAGCCAAGATGGGGGAGGAATACGAAAAGGCAACCGTTTCTAAGCGTCATAAAGGATAGAAAGATGTGGATGTCCATGATTTCCCACTTCCTGAAGGGACACAGAAGAACATGAAGAACAGAATTGCAAATATCTGGAAATAAATACTTTATTGTGGCAAAATTGAAATCGACCAGGTTTAATTTGGAAAACAACGTATCCAAAGACAATCAATAATTTGCAAATGCACAGCGCAACATCAAAAAATGAATCCATGATACTTATTGATAAAAAATAGTTCCTTTATTTTGTTTCACTGTTCTCAGAGTTCCATAGACATTCACCCAATCCTCAGCACATTTTTGGTGAAGTTAATTAAATGAATTAAATGCGATATAAACGGGCTTTTTATTTCATTTTTGGAAATAGTTTAACTGTAAACTCCAAAGATATCTGCTTCCGAATACGTAAATTTATTGTCAGTTGCTTGCGTCACCAACTCTAAACTATTAGATCAGGTTTTATCAAGATCGATATATGCACATGATAAGTCAAACACAGTAAACAGCTATCAAAGTGTGATAGTACATATATATCAATCTGCATCGATATATCGATCATTGTCAGGCATACAGCTCAGTAACACGATTCACGTGACTGAAGAGTTATTTCAATAAACAGGACGATGAGGCTGACGGAAATTTTATACGTCTTTAAATTCTGAATGCCATATGCGACAAAAATATAATTTCAAAAAGTTGTCATGCTAAAATTGTCTTGTTATCAAATAGCCAAGGGCAGTATTATTCGTGATCATGAAGTAAGAAAGGGAAGCATTACACGAGAACATGAAGTAACCAAGGTTGGTAGTACTCAAGGCTATGAATTAACAAAGGGCAATAGTACTCAAGGCTATGAATTAACAAAGGGCAGTAGTATTCGTGGTTATGAAGTAACCAGTCGCGGTAGCACTCGAGGCTATGAATTAACCAAGGGCAGTAGTACTCAAGGCTATGACGTAACCAAGGTCACTAGTAAGCACGGACATCAAGTAACCAAGTGTAGCAACACTTGAAGCTATGAAGTAGAAAAAGACTGTAGTACTCGTGGTCATCAAGTAACCAAGTACAACACTACAGTGGGTAATGAAGTAATCAAAGGTAATATTACTTGAGTATATGAATTATCCAATCGCACAAATACCCGAGGCCATGAATTAACCAAGGGCATTAGTACGCGAGGCCATGAATTAACAAACGGCCCCAGAATTGGAGGCCATGAATTAACAAAGGTGGCTAGTATTCGAGGCCATGAATGAACCAATAGAATTTGTACTGGAGGCCATGAATTAACCAGGGCACTAGTACTCGTGAATCTGGATGAAACAATAGATTTTATACTCATGGCCATGAATTACCCAAGTGTACTAGTAATCGAGGCCACGTATTAACTAAGAGAACCACTACTCGTGGCAATGAATTAAAAAAAATCACGAGTACTCGAGCACAAGAATTAAACAAGGGCACTAGTACTCGTGGACATTAAGTAAATAATGACACTAGTTTTCGAGGCCAGGAATTACTCAAGGGTACTAGTATTATGGCCATGAAGTAACCAAGGCTACTAGTGCTTAAGGCCAAGAATTAACCAATAGCACTTGTACTCGAGGCCATGAATTAAACAAGGTTACCACTACTCATGGCAATGAATTAAACAAGGTCACTAGTACTCGAGGCTATGAATTAAACAAGGGCAATATTACTCGAGGCCATGAATTAAACAAGGGTACTACTACGGGAGGCCATGGATTAACCAAAGGCACTGATTCTCGAGACCATGAATTATTCAAGAGCATTAGTACGCGAAGCTATGAATTAACAAACAGCCCCAGAATTGGAGTCAATGAATTAACAAAGGTCACTAGTACTCCTGGCCATGAATAAACAAAGGATACCACTACTCGTGGCCATGAATTAAACAAGGTCACTAGTACTCAATCCAAGAATTAAACAAGGGCACTACTAATCGTGGCCATAAAGTAACTAGGGGAACTAGTATTCGAGACCAGGAATTACCCAAAGGTACTAGTACTTGTGACCATGAAGTAACCAAGGGCACTAGTGCTCGAGGCCATGAATTATCAAAGGACATTATTACTCGAGTCTATAAATTAAACAATCGCACTAGTACTCGTTGCAATGTATAAGCAAGGACACTAGTAATCGAGGCCATGAATTAACCGAATATAAAATTATTCGTGGCCATAAAGTAACAAAGGGCACTGTTACTTGAGTCCAGGAATTAACAAAGGATACCAGTATTCGAGGCCATGAATTAACCAAGGCACTAGTACTTGAAGCCATGTATTAAGCCAGGGTACTAGTACTCGAGTCCATGAATTAACCAATCGCATTATTATTCAATTCCATGAATTAACTAAGGCCATGACGTATCAAAGGTCACTATTAAGCACGGACATAAAGTAACCAAGTGTAGCAACATTCGAGGCTATGAAGTAGAAAAAGACTGTAGTACTCGTGGTCATCAAGTAACCAAGTACAACACTACAATGGGTAATGAAGTAATCAAAGGTGTTATTACTTGAGTATATGAATTATCCAATCGCACAAATACCCGAATCCATGAATTAACTAAGGGCACTAGTATTCAAGGCCATGAATTAACCAAGGGTACTAGTACCCGAGGCCATTAATTAACAAAGGACACAAGTAATAGAGGCCATTAATTAACGAAGGGCATGAGTGCTCGAGTCCACGATTTAACCAGGCGCACTAATAGTCGAGGCCATGAATTAACCAAGGCCATCACTACTCTACGTCATGAATTAACCTAGGGCACTAGAACGCGGGAACATGAATTAAGCATAGGCACAGATTCTCGAGGTCATGAATTAACCAACTGCACTAATACGCGAGGCCATGAATTAACC